TTCTACACGATTTCTCTCAGGCGGGCATAATATACAGTCCACTATAAGCTCATTAACCCTAGTTAAAGACGCCCTAAAATCTGCAGGTTTTCCACTACGAAAAATCACCTCAAATCACCCAAAAATCCTGGAATCAGTCCCAGATTCCGAGGTCCTTGATGTTGATTTTCTCCAATTTCAGGACACTAGCTCTACAAAAACGCTAGGCATAAAATGGAACGCGCTAACGGACTCCTTCTCTTACACGTACGATCCTGTTCCCGCTGCCAACTCGAGGACAAAACGGCAAATATTATCAGTGGTAGCGAAATTGTTTGACCCGGCAGGATGGCTAACGCCAATAATGATTTCCGCTAAAATGCTCCTTCAGCAACTATGGATGGAAGGAACTGACATACTGAGCACGTAAAACCCGGCGCTTTCTACAAATGGAATGCGCGAAAATCTCCCCGCGACTAATGAAATTGTTATTCCCCGCTGGGTGCAATTCTCCCCTACTCACCGTGTACAAGTACATGGGTTTTCTGACGCCTCTGAAAAAGTTTATTGCGCCTGTGTCTACCTCCGAGTACAAATTGACGAAAACTCCTTCTCGTCACACATACTCGCAGCTAAAAGTATCTGAATCTGATGGTGGATCAAGCTGGAATTATGCGCGTGAATGGACGTTTAGCTTACGCAGCTCTCAGTTACAATGAACGTCACCCGAGCATAATTCCATAAAATTCCAAGCTCTGTGCTCTGCTGCTCGACTTCCACCATACCACTCTTCTCCACGCTGACAAACAACTGATGATTCGAATGGTGCAGCAAGAATATTATATCCCCAGGTTGAAGCAAAAGATAAAAAAATGTATTTTTCAGTGCAAGATCTGCACAATCTATAAACAAAAGATGCGTTCACAGATAATGGCCGCGCTTCCTCCTGAACGATCCACCTATACCAAAATCCATTTCACGAAGGTCGCAGGAAATCACAAGTTCACCTTCAAGGAATTCACCACCCTCCTTATCCGAATTGAAGCGGTGTTGAATTCAAGACCGCTCTCCCCAATGTCTCAGGATCCCACTGATCTGTTGGCGTTAACGCCAGGACATTTCTCACGTGGTGCCCCACTACTCTCTTTGCCTGAACCCCACTCGGAAACCCTCTCATTGACGAACAAATGGCAAAAATTTAAGGTTATTCATCAGCAATTCAGTAATCGCTGGAAAAATGAATATCTAAAAGAACTCCACAAACGGCATAAGCGGAAGCGACAAGAACCTAACATTAAGGAAGGAGACCTCGTTGTAGTCAAGGACGACCTTCTACCCCCTAACGAGTGGAGACTCGGGCGCGTTGTGAACCTTCACCCCGGTCAAGATGCAAATGTTCGCGTAGCGGATATTCACACCCAAGCCGGAACCATCACGAGCAATATTGCAAAGCTATGTCTATTGGCCACTCTGTAGAATCTCTCTATTCGCCCTTCATGCTTTCACCCACTCTAGTTCCCATATAAGCATCCCCAGTTCTCTATAAAATTACGTGACTAATTAATTTTTTCGACGGTTTCTCCACAGATGGACAGACGTGTAATGGAAGTCAACCAATGCCGCTTGTGCTGCCGCTACCACCCTCTTAGGTTTTGTCAAGCGTTCCGAGCTGTGACGCCCGATGAGCGGTATGAATCCGCACGAATACACCAATATTGTATTAATTGTTTGGCCACCTCGCATACCACTGGCGCATGTAGCTCTGCTGATAGCTGCCTCCGGTGTGGGATGGCACACCACACCATGCTGCATCGTCCAACAGCATCGCCACCGGAACGCCATCGCCAGGCCAAGTCACGTACGCAAGTCCCCCGCGGACCACCCACACTCGCCAGCCGTGTGGTCAAAGCACCAGCGAGTCAGGCCCCAGGTGGCCGCAACAAAGTTCAACGGCGCATTCGGGACTTATTCGACCGGGCCAGGGTGACTCTCGAGAAGTTGCAGGAATTGCTGCACGTTGCACCGGTGCAGGCGGGCCGGCATATCGAGGACATGAGCGCCAATTTGATCGACTTTGACTAGTCTTAATATTTTTTTCTCATTTCTCATATTATGCATGCGGCCGACAACCTTGTCATTTATATTATTGTGAATTAATTTTGGAAATGGAAAATTGGATTGTTTTTGTTGTAAGTGGTGTCATGGGGTGATCTTAGCCCACAATTAAGAAAGTTTTAAGCACTTCGTATTCAACTACCGCCGCGGCCGCATCGCACTTGTTTTTGCCGGATTACCTCCTCTAGTTAAGCCACTTGGGCAGAATTGAATTTACTTTCAAGTAGCATTAGACTTCCTAAATTTCGTTAATAAATAGACGTAGATATTTGAATTATATCAAAAATCCAATCGCGTTTCATTTATTGTGGTTTTCGTCACTTGGCGCACGTCGAAAAGCTGCAATCACAACAGACAGCCAGCGCTTTCGCTACTCGACTCTCACACCTGCTCTCAGAGAGCACTCTTCAACAAACCGACTTATGTGAGTAGTGGAACCACATTTCCCGCTCATTAAGTACCGCCGCCGAAGAAGTAGTCGGATTTCAGCGAGCCCGAAAGAACAACTGGTACGATGAGGAGTGTCAGGAAGGTGCAGAGAAAAGAGATGCCGCCTACAGGGACACGCTGCGATCGCTGCGCGCTATGTGGGACCGCTATAGGGATCTGAAGAGGGACGCGATACGTATTTGCGGCAATAAGAAGAGAGAGGCCGAAATACGGGAGTGCGAAGAGCTTGAAATGCTGGCCGGCAGGAACAATGCCCGAAAATTTTACCAGAGAGTTAGGTTCAAGAGTAGGTTTCAAGACCAGGGCGTACTCCTGTAAGAACAACAATGGCGACCTAGTAACCGATGTCCAGAGCGTACTTAAATTATGGACACTTTTCCGCCCTACTATATGGTAGCAGCACGGAAAGTTGTGGAGAGGAAGAACCCGAGCCCGCAGTCGATGATGATGGAGTCGACGTTCCACCGCCTGACTTTGACGGGGTACGTATAGCATTAACGCGGCTGAAAAACAAAAAATCTGCTGGAGCTGACAGCCTGCCAGCTGAGCTATTCAAGTACGGCGGCGAGGAGTTGATAAGGTGCATTAATCAGCTCTTGTGCAGAATATGGTCAGATGAACGCACGCCCGGCGACTGGAATTTAAGTGTGCTCTGCCCAATCCACAAGAAAGGTGACCCCGCCATTCGCGCCAACTACCGCGGGATCAGCCTTCTAAGCATAGGTTACAAGGTCTTATCGAGCGTATTGTGTGAAAGACTGAAGCCCACCGTCAATGAACTGATTGGGCCTTATCAGTGTGGCTTTAGACCTGGCAAATCCACCATAGACCAGGTATTCACAATACGCCAAATCTTGGAAAAGACCCGCGAGAAAAGGATCGACACTCACCACCTATTTGTCGACTTTAAAGCCGCTTTTGACAGCACTAAAAGGAGTTGCCTATACGCCGCTATGTCTGAATTTGGCATCCCCTCAAAATTCATACGGTTGTGTAAAATGACGTTGAACAATACCACCAGCTCCATCAGAATTGGGGGAGACCTCTCCGAACCGTTCGCCACCAAACGGGGTTTCAGACAGGGCG